CGAGGACACTTTCCATGGTCGAATTTCTAGGAAAAGAGAACGATCTTACAAAAGTGGAGATACGTGGAGGATTGTGCCCGCTTGGAAACACCCTGAGAACATCTTAAGGAGTGCATTGGAATCTGCTTGCTGTTCGGATTACTCTAAACATGAATGGAAAATCGAATGACTGATTAATAATAAATAGACCGCGGATGTTTTGTGCAAAATGAAAATTGTCTGCATTAGTTTCATGAAATAGAAACTAAATAGATTAAACTAATAGATTAAAAATGAGACATTGAGATTTTTTAATTCTTTTAATCTTTATTGTATTTCAATTTGCAACCACCTGATTTTGTCATAAATGCGATGCGATTAATAAACCAACTAACGCCTGTATTGTAGTTTCTTAGTAATGTAGTCTTTCATTTCGTCAGTTTGTTCATTTCTCCTTCAGGCTTACAACAATATTAGTTATTTCGTATAATTAACTCGATCTTTACCTTTCTGCTTTCTTTAAATCATTCACTGGTCATTTATTTAGCAGTTCTTGTGTCATCCAGTTTGTTTAACTGTCTAATATCCACGCAAAACATTAAACTGTCTGCATCGTGATTTTTCTTGAAATAAAAACTCTTTAGCCAAATCATGATTACGAATAGAAAAAAATATATATAACTCTATTCACTGCTACAAAAAGTGTTCATATAATCCTTCATTATTTTAGATATTCCTAGATTGATTACTTGCATTTTGATTTTATTGCACGAGGAATATGACAGAAAACGTGTTATCACTGTACTGCGAATGTTTATACATTTAACATGTTCGAAAAATTGGAAAATATTTGTCGTTTTTTTAAAAAATACTATTAGCTTGTTGAAATTGAGGTGGACAATTCTTATTTTACAGAAAGATCCGCGGTATATTTATCACTATGAAAACAATGTAAATTAGAAGAATTGTATAAGACTGCAGAAATGATCGATATTGTATTATAATAAGATTTTTAATTGTTTAGTGCACAGGACTCGCAATAACTATTCACTCGTCGATACATTTCCTACTTCAAATAGGTCACCCTTCATTAAATAGTTCGCCATGTCTCGTATGTTTCAATCGATTTCATATACAAACGATTACGAATGTTGATGAGTGCTCTGTGCTGGACCGTATCTCCGACATAACAACTCAATAACATGATCGAAACACAAATGAATGCGTTCATCGTTGATGGCCGTTTTATTATACAATCCTGACACTGGACAATCTCTGGATGCAACATCGATATTTGAAACCATAATGTCCAGAAGATATTTTCACAGACTTCAATCACGGAATTTTAAATGCATAGTTTTAATTGGTTGATAAACAAATCGTCAGAGTCGTATGTTCTTTGTTTAAACACGTTCACGAATGAAATTGTACGCATGAGCTCGAAAGCATAAATTCGAGAACTAAGTATTACTTAAAAAAGAAAAGAATGTTCGTTATGCCAATTAAAAACTTCGTGAAAACTAGATCCGGATGTTTATCATGATAAAATCACCGCAGCTGGAGAGTTCGAGGTAATCAAGACGTGGACATATTTCACCGAAAGCATATAAATGAATGAACTTCTGTACATAATTTCATCTCGGAAGGAGCAATCCTTTTTTAACAAACTAGCAACGTAACCTTTTTTAAGTAACTAGTAAGGTTCGTAAGTAACTCGTAAGTAACTATCAAGGCTCTAACAAGATATAATAAATTTCCTTCGTGATTTCCCTCATTTCAACCACGTCGCGATTCCAATTAACACCGAAACTCAAGTTTCCAAAAAGACAAAATTTTATTAGACGAACAAAACAAGCGCGGAAAGCTTCCGAAATCGTTGCTAGCGATGTTTTTTATAAAAGTGTATTCGATTTTCTTACAACTTTTTAACGATTACGCATGCATAAACGAGAGATTCTCGAGGTTTCATTCACGCTAAAATAGCCGAGCAAAAGTAACTATAGTTCGTACCGTCTTTCAAACACAACAAACTCGCAATTCACCGGTCTATCAGAAATATGTCTTTTCAGCTGCATCTTACTGCAGCATCTTGCCTCTGCAAAGATTGCACGATCGTTTGTCTGTTAATTAAAGGCCGAAATGAAGAAGTTTTAAGAAGTCCGAGTTAATATTAAATAAATTAATTTAATTTTACGTAGAAATACTGAACGGAGTCAGTCATAATCTACTAAATAGAAATGTTATTACTTTCTTCTAAATCGAAACCAAATCTGAAAATGTACAGGAAACAGAGATTGCCTCGTTCTATTAGGGAAGTTATTAAGGACGTGGAAGTGTTAATCAACGTGTCTATGAAAGAAAAGAAACGTAATACAAATAAATTAAAGGGAGAGAAGAAGATCGTACAGAATTATTAAAAATTGATTCAGACTAAATAAATATACCGAGTAATTACCCGCACAGAAGCTTCTTTGCTGTCTCAATAACTCCAACACGGAGAATCTTAAATCCGTCATTTTGACAAACTTGGCTGTACTGGTATTAAATAGCAGGCTACGGAGAACTTCTCAGCCTTCGGACTCGCGTTGGGCAGTAATAGCATCCCTTTCGAATGTTCCACGCGGACAACCGTAGCACCGAAAGTATTGTCTTTCGGTATAGTCATGGCCGGGATTAGAGCAGACACCGAGACATGAAATCCGCTCGTGTTTCCTGCAGCTACAGATCAAGGAGGAAGAAAAAAGCATCCACAGTATTGTTACTTGGTGGGGTCGATGGAACTGCTAGGTGGCATCTAATGAGAAGGAGCGGACAATGAGCCTTTCTGACTTAAGAGCCCTAGGGTGAATACCGGAAGAGTACTCCTACAACCCTTCTTATGTTATTCATTTATTCTCACGCCTGCTTCACGAATCAGACGAGTTACCTGACGAGAAGAGCTCTGTGGTGAATGGCTTCGAGATATTCGTGAAATTTCAACGTGGCAGAGTGCGAAATAATGCAGTTTAAAAAACTGAATAGAACGATCGAATACGTGATAAATTGATTTAATTGCGAACAAAATGAAACCGAGAAAAAAAGACTAATCGGTTACTATTCCACGAAAAAATTAACAAAAACGGTCCACGCTGGTTGGTCTTGATAAAAATGTTCTTGATAAGAATTAAAGCTTTTAGCTTTTAGAAAATTATGATAATCGATGCTAGACTTCATCATATTGCATATGCCTTTTTCGTAGGTAATTTAAAATACTTTCGATATACTTGAAACTTTATAAAGAGTTTATTGCAGAAATTACTTAAGCAATAAATTGAAAACATTCTTTTATTCGCTTCTATTAGATTATTATACAATTACGTCCGATCAATTGAAAAATGATAAAATTCGGAAATTTAAAAAGTATTTTTTGAAAAGAAAAATTTATTATCACAGAATTGAGTAGTACAATTGAGAGAGTACAATTCAAATTATTACTGAATTCATCAGAAGGACAGATTTATTTTATTTTCTAACTAATAAGCTTATACAATGTTCCGTGAGAAATTACCAAATGTTATACATCGATAATTTAATTTTTTAAACAGCTATTCGAACTAATCAAATGAAAAAAATATGAAATTATTGATGGAATTAACGTCAAGAGGGTTAAGACATAAAAAATGAATTACTGTATAATAGAAACGGTCATCCATAATTTATCATTATAATTATACATATACAAATCAGTTTTTGACCCTCGAATTTTT